CGAACCGAACACTGATTTTGGTAATAAAATTCAATGATTTGCAAGCGTTGCTCGTTAGTAAGTCTATTCATGATGAAATGTCAAAGCATACTGAGCATCTTTCTCTTTGACACCATGTCTGAAATCCCACGTGATCTGTCAAATACTAATGCATGAAAATCCTAACCTCAAAAAAATCACCCGTTACTTTTGCAATTTCGTGCTTTCGATTTGATTTCGATACAGTATTTGAAGAGCTGTCGATTTATTTTCGTACATTTGGTCAAATTTTAACATTATTTCGCGTGGTGTATCTAAATCACCAATGAATTCAAACTGAGCATTGGAAATCACGCTGTATATAATGTTATGCGCCTTAATTTCCATAAATGACCAATCTTCGGGTTTGTCGGTACTCGTTTGTTCACGCAGCACTCACTACCTCGTTACACTTTTTGAACTCCAAGAATTTTAGGATGCGTTTTTCCAATGCGTATAGTCAGCGCCATCGAAAATAGATATCGGCCCTTATTATGAGCTGCATTCGATTTTCGATCTTCGCTGGCTATCGAAGATCGAAGATCGAAAGTGGAATTCGTATTATGAGCTATGCAAGCGTGTCGAAATTTTCGTTGAGTATCGAATTTTCTGTCGAACAGAATTTTGCTTTCGATGGTGTAGCGAAGTGTTAGAAAATTGTGAAAAATGTATGATTTTGTATATGTTTTCTTACATTTTGGCGGCTAGACATTAATTTTAAACAATTTTTATTAATTTCATGCAGTTCTAACATCTTGAATACTAAACACAAGCTCGAAAGGCTGGTTTTACTTATGAAAGAAAATCTCAATACTCTGTTGGCACGATCTCTGAGAACAAAATCGTAGCGCTGTTGATAGTTTTAAAATATTTTAAATAGATTTGGCTCACAAACGCCTCTTTAGATGGTCGGAACTTTTTAATGAATCTGTAGACAAATTTCTTAAATATATTTTATATCAAAATACATTCGAAAGACTAATAAACTTAAACTCTCTTAAACATTTGCTACTCCTGGCCAGTTTACTAAGCTCTCATCCTCTGACGAATCGTTGAACCAGAACTCGTTGTACTCATTTTACCACGTTTTTATAAACTTGCTTTCTTTTTTACTTCATTTTAATTAGAACAAATTTACATAAATATGTATAAGCACACTATTTAGTTTGCTCGATTTGTAAACAAAGCTTCTCAGCGGTGAAAAATATACTATTGTGAACAACCTAAACGAGCGAAATTCACAATAGCGCTATTCTTCATCGAATGAGTGCCATAATACCAAATGCAAATTCGTTCGCTCAGCACTTTCGACCACAGTCGAAAATCGAATGCAAATCATAATAGGGGCCATCATAACCTCATCCCATTTTACTAGTGAATGCATTTTTAACTTGCAATTTCTGACCTCGTGTAGCACTTGCTCACCACCACTCTGCTGCTACGTGCACACTTTATTTCCACCCTGCTACGTGCAAATTTTATTTCCACTCTGCTACCGGGTGCGATCCATTGTGCATGCTTATGGTTATGAATATAAAAGTAATCTTATAAATGTAATTTATCTACAAAGTCTCATAATTATAAAAGTAGGTTCGAAATTCTTTATAAGCAGGAAAGTTATAGATTACGAATGAATTCTTAAATGTTAAAATACATCAGTACCTTTTATTTCTAACCCCACCCGAAGAAAAGTTCCAACTTGCGCAACCTAGTAGAAAGCTAGCATCTTTTCAAAGAAATCTACCGAGTTAAAAAAAAGAGAAGAAAAAGATGCCTTGTATTTTAACATTTAAGAACATACCCTACATTTCGTAATGCGATTGTAATCCATTTTAATTTTCTAATTAGACTTGAAGAAATAAGAGATTTAGTTTTCTTTAATAGTTGGTAAATTTATTAATAAATATCAGCAGGAATTGTGAAACAAAATGTAGAAACCGTGCATGCATAGCTTTTAAAGAGTTAAACATATAAAATATAAATAAATACATATTATTTTGCATAAAAAAGTAAACATTGTTTTAAACGAACAGAGGAGGAGACAGATACAAGTAAGTAATACAAAAACTATACTGCAGCAAATTGTTTAAAATTAATTACAAAGCAGATATTTTTGTCACATTATACACTCTCCGCTGGACGCACCTCATCGCACAATTCCACTGGCACAATTATACGTTCATTTTCCATAGAAACCTAAAAAAAGAATCAAATTAAAAAGAAAAAATCTTAGCTCAGCTGTGATAGTTAAAGCCATTTAACATACCGTAATGTTGAACGGTTCCTGCTTATTTTCCGCATTCAATTTGTCGCATAGCAAACTCACCTCCACCTCTAAATGGCCACCATCGGGTTCCACATAACCCTCTGAGGGCGTCAACTGCAACAAGTTTTTACGGTTCGTGCTCACTTCAAAGTATTGTCGCGACTTAAATGAGTTGCAAATGAAAATCGATGAACGCAATAATGGGCGTTCTTCACCGCGCAAATAAAAACATAATGCGCTGGGCAAAACAGACCAGCAACAAGCTTCGCCGCGTGTCGACGAATTGTTACTGTTGGCTTGCTCAACATCCTCCTCTATTAATTCATCCACACGATCCAAAACATGGCCCGAACCATCAGCATTACTGGGCGATGGACTGCATACTGTGCGGAACAATACTGTCTCATCCTCATCGGGAAAATAAAACGAAGATGTCGACTTGATAGTCTCGTCCAAGTAGTCATCGTTAATGGTAAGTGCAACTTCGTGTATACGCATGTGGGTTAGCAAATCGTACGTCAATTTTGGTGTTTCCTTGAACGTCTGCAGCTCTTTAATTTCCTTCTCACCAGGCAGCTTTTCCCACAACGCTTCCAAAGATTTAGATGAACTTAGATTGACGCGCTCCTCCGGCGACATGCGCGCCACCAGTTGGCGCATGCGCTGCCTATTTGCTTCATCACCAGATATTAAACGCAAATTGGCTAGTGTGAGTACGGATTTTGTTTGTCTTGTAATTTTTCGTACATCTTCACGCTGTGGCCGGAAAACTACACGCAAAGTCGCTGTTGAACCAGGCGGTATAAGCATGGCTGCTGGCTGTATTTCAAAAGCAGTGCATAATCGCGGCAAACGTAGTCCAACCGAATCGATTGAAGCGAGCGCGAAGCCCAGCAGCGGACCTTTATTGTAAACACGTATAGTGCGCTGTATGGGTTGTGAGAGTTCGTGTAAGTAGCCCATTTGCAGGAAAGCCATACCAACTGGCGCTATGTGCACTTCCTGCGCCACAATGCTGCAATGGCCACCATAACCATATAGAGGGATATCCAAAAACGATGACATGTTGGCAGTGGAGGCACTGTTGTGTGCAGCATTAACATTTTGCGGTGCGTAAAATGCAAGCTTGCCCACGGCAGCACCAATAACTGTAGGACAAAAGCTTACCGCAATTGTGCGACATTCCTGAGACTGCAAAGTCAACGTATTATTGCCAGGCAAATTCAACAGTTGATAACCGGGACCGTGCACATCTATACGCAAGGTAAGTCTCTTGCTCGCAATATTTTTCACTTGCATTGTCCGGTGTGCAGCATTTCTCAAACGTGTGCTACCCCAAGACAATTCAACGGCGGTAACCTTTAACGGTATTGCGTTTCCGTCACGATGACTGAATTCACTGCTGCTGGAGCAACGCGAGACGCTGCGCACAACGCCGCCATTTCTAAGAGTATATGCGCTATTTGTGCGCATTGGTGCAATATTTTTGGCACTGGCTTCGCTAGTCGACGGTGACGATGCCGCGCGTTGCACCTTAACATTACTGCTGGATTGTGGCTTTCCTCGCGCCTGTGGCGAACAGTTCTCACAACCCCGACGTGAATTTTCGATACCCATGTCAGTTGCAGCGGGCGATGATGGTGAAGATAAAAAACCGCGGGGTGGAGATGGAGGGCCGCTATAGGGGCTACCAGTAGCCATTAGGGTGCGCTCAGCAGCATTATTCTTGGGCGATGCCAGCGACTTGGAAAGATTCGGTGAAACAGCTACAACATCACAATCACTTTTTTGCTCATCGACCCTTGTAGAACAAAGTGGTTTCTGCAACTGCAGATAGGGACTCAACGATGATGGGGAACCTTCCTTCTTCGTAAGGGTTATGGTTTTTTGATTAATGCCGCAAGTTTGTGCGTATGTTGAAGGGGAAGATTTGGGTGTGGTGGACTTAGAAAATGACGATTTAAAGCTACCATTTATCTTTTCGGGTGTTTCATGATATTGCCGATACGATTTTTCTTCACAGGCATTATCGTTTTCATTAGGTGCAAGTCGTAGAGTTGGTATATTTAAAGGGCTTAGCGGTGATCGTGGTTGACCTATGCTGCGCTGCAACTCTTTTAAATCACTGGCATCCAGCAATGATTCGCTAAAACTTATTGTGTCAGCATGTGATTCAGATCCTCGCATTTTTTGTGGATCCCAATTTTCTTTATTTTCTGATAACAATTCCTCGAGCGTATTTAGGCTATTTGTGTATCGTTCAACGGATTGTCTTACACTGGCTGATGTATGGGCTGCGACAGCCAATTGTGGGGCCTTATTAAATTGAAATTGCTGAGCAACACTGCTTTGCCGTAATTCGTTTCTTTCGCGGTTTTGAGGTGACTTATTACGTTTTGGTTTTTTCAACAAATCGATAAGATGTGTTGATGAAATATCTCCATCAATGTTTTTAGCTGAAAAAAATTTATTAGGTATATTTTTACTTATAAAAGCTAAAAAAGTGTTAAAAGCTATAATATATACTACTTATAATTTCAATTAAAACAGTTTGAAGCGATTGTTGTTGTTTCAAACGGGGAAATTATTAATGTAGAAATTATTAAGTACTTACTAAAGGCCTTTTTGATATGCGACAGCGAGAGCAAATACGATTCCTCTTCTTCTTTCGTGCCATTGCCGGAATCTTTACTTTCATGTTTATCTCCTTTCTGTTTCTCATATTCTAATATGCTATTATAAGCAACGTTTGGAGCTTTACTATATGTCCTATTATCAATTTGGGGTGTTAAGTCTACGTCATTTGTGGATGCAATGACTTTCGTAGTTCCTATTGGCGTGCTCAAGCTAAGTGTACTTTGTGTTTCATCTACCAATGCTATTGGAGGACGCATGCGCTCGGGACTCAATGACCGCACTATATTTTGTAAATCTTCTGAACGTTGATTGAAAAAGCGTCCCATAGAAAAAATTGGGGTCTCGCGCCAAAATCGAGCTGTATAAAGCAAACAAATTTTATAGGGAGGTAAGACAGAAATCAAAAACCTAGACTAGTAAAGATACATAATCCTATGTCAAATATTTTTTACCTGTTCGGATTGGATTGTAGATCAAAATCCTTTCCCTCGACTGTTTTTTTCCTTCTCCTCTTTATTCAATGCAGCTGTTGGTATGGTGGCGAATTCTTGTGCCCAAGCCATTTCGTCCATCAACAACTTCGACTGCATTTTTTCTGCGGGCTGAAATTCCTCGGAGTTGACTCCGGTTTCATTTGTCATATTAAATGAAAACTGACCGCCGGCAGCTTTACCAAATGTTGTATCTGTGGTATTAAGCGATAAATCAGCCGTTCGAAGTAAAACATGCGAATTATTTAAACTTCCTAATGTAGTGCTCGATACTGAAGTGCGTTCACCTAAAGCCTCGCCGAGATTTCGAGCTTTGGGCGCAAATGAAGTGGCGAGAATGTCACCGACTGATAGCCGACTAGATGTTGTGGCAATACTATTTTTCGGATTTTTATGTGAATTTCGCTCTGTATAATGTGTGGATCGACCAGTTATTTCCGACGGTTCGAATGAAACTTTTGTGTTATTTGTTGAAATAGTGCTCTTAAAGTTTAGGTTGATACTTTCATCAGTCACCAAATCGGAAATATTGATGGAATCTGGTCGGCAATAAGGCACATATTCCGTACGATTTAATTCTGGAAAAAACATTGTTATGAGCGAAAAAGCCAAGCTCAAAGAGTAAGAATCTTACTTCTTGAGGAATTTGATGATGTAGTTATTTCATCTGGTACTTTTAAATAATCTTTTTTTACAAAGCTTTGCTGTATTATTTTATTTACATCAGATTTTACGGATTTGCTGGCTTTTTCCAAGGTTTCCAAAGCTCTTAGTCGTTCCTTCTATTAAACGCATTCATTATTTACTTCAAAAATATTAAAAAGGGAATACATATTTATTTCTAAATATTTATGCACTTACATTTAAGCGTTCGTTGACTGGTTTGCTGCTGGTGGAGGAAGAATTAGATGTCTCACCAAAAGCTGTATTTGTAAAGAAATATTAAAATATTTGCTTTTTCTCGGAGAAACCGATTTACCTTTTAAGCTATCTAAATTTAAAATCCCAAGCGAGTCAGCTAAATTACTAATATCGGTGTTATGTTTATCCATATTGTCCTGGGCACAAACCAAGGAAAATTCCTTCACAAAAACTTCCCACGATTTATTGGAAATTTAAGCGTATATTTCTGGATTTTTATAATATTGAAGACGGCTGTTTGCGCCACTACAAATGCAAATCCGCCCGCCCCAGAAATATTTTTTATTTTCTTTTGGTAAATGCCCGAAATAATGACAAAACTGAAGTTGGCGCAAATCGGGTTTAAAATTAAAATGGTGGAAATTTGAGTCGTCGTCAAAGAACACAGAGTTGCATGCACCGAACGAGTACAGTACGAACACAATCGATAACAGTTCGAAAATGTTTGATGAATTTTCTTCGACCTCCGTAACTCGGGGCTCCCACCTGCCAAGATTCGTGTCTAGACATGAATGTTACATGGACACCGCGCTTATCAATAAAACTGGTCAATTCCTTCAGAAATACTTGGTAATTTGATTAGTTTAAACAGACTACCTGTACCTGTTTACCCCCGTGCGGCTATTCACATAACGTAGTCCATTATATATTAGTAATACTAATAATCAACTATGTCGTGGAATCCGATGTTCTCGTTATCGGATTTAAATCCGACAACTTTTTGGCTAGGTGTTGCGCAATTCGATATTATCGATTTTTATGTTCGAAAATAAATTTTTCTAATTTTCACAGAATCCGAGTTGGTCGGTTTTTGTCATGATACAAAAATTTGAAGGTAAAACCGCTGAGAGGCAGCCTGAACATTTTTGAAGTTTGCTAACATAACAAAAATGTTTTCAAATTTTCAATCTCACAGATACATTCTCATTTTCAGTCTCAAATAAAAGAAAGTTTGAATACCCAACAAGCAAAATAAACTTAAAGAAAGTTTTTTTTAAGTTTTCAATTATAAACATTAAGCTTACAAAACGTTGATTTTTTGTTTATAAAACGCTTGAAAGTGAGCGTAATATAATCGAAAAGGAACATTGGTTATAAGCGTAGAAATATAAACTTGTAATAAATGTTCAAAAGAAAGCTTTTTATAAGCGTAAAAGTGTAAACTTATAATAAAGGTTCAAAAAAAGTTTTATATAAGCGTATCAATATAAACTTACTAAAAATTTTCAAAAGAAAGCTTTTTATAAACATTTTTATAACCCTTTATTTAAAGATATTTCATTAAAACCTCATACATAGATTGCTTAACATCTAGAAACTAAACGAAATGCGAATTTTCCGCGGACTCATCTACAGTCGCGAAAATATAAATAGGGAACAGACATTTTAGCATACAAATTCACAATAACACATACAAATTAAGCATAAAAAAGTTAATTATTACATCTTGTTGCGTGCTTTCAATTACTTGCGGTTATTGGCAAATTGGAAAAGGGACATCGATGCAGCTATATATTGCGCTTTATCGCCGCCATTCTCATTGATGAACTTTTCTGAAAAAAATTTAATACGTTTTTAAATGAATGTTAAACTAAGAAAGGATAAGGGGAACTCATCATTTGAAGACTCGAATGCTCCACCGATTAGCGCAGCGGGTCCTGGATTGGATTTTCTTGTTTTACCGCATTGGTTTTATTTAATTTTTTCTTTTAATAATATATTTTAAAAAACGTAAACACGTCACTTACGATTGAAAAAATTTTATATTTACTACTTCATGTCGTTGGCATTTACATTTCATTTATAAGTTTAAGTTATTTATAAACATTCGCTCTCAAAACTTATTAAAGGTTTGTTTGAAAAAACTTTTAATAAGCTTAATATTAAAAATGCTTATTTAACGCTTATTATAGCAAACTTAATTTAAGTTATTTTTAAAAACGTTTACTGAAATGCTTGTTGGGTAGTTTCATCCATGATAAAAATATTGTAAGGTAGAACCGCTGAGTCACTTTTAAAATTATTGACGTTTCCAACCAATTTAATTTTTAAATTTACTCACAAACTCACACACACATTTTCATTTTCAATCTCAAGCAACAACAATTTCGTACAATTTCAATTTTTTATTTTCACTTTTATATGATTTTAAAATGTTGGCAAACTTCAAAAAAAAATCATGGCCGACAAATTGAGAGACCGGTTCTACCTTGCTATGTTTTTATCATGGTTTCATCTATTTGTTTTTTGTTTTACTTTTATTTGGCATTTGAGTTGCTCTCAAAATTTCAATTTTATAAAGTAGACAAACTTCAAAAAATAAATGATGGTAGACGAATTGAGCGAGCAGTTTAACCCATGATAAAAACATAACAAGGTAAAACCATTGAGAGGCAGTCTGACGTTTGCCAACAATATAATTTTAAAATCAAAACTCAAACTCACACACACATTCTCATTTTCAATCTCAAACAACAACAATTGTGAACAATTTAATTTTTTTATTTTCAATTTTATATGATTTTAAAATGTTGGCAAACGTCAGAAAAAAATCATGGCCGACGAAATGAGAGAATGAATTTACCTTGTAATGTTTTTATCATGGTTTTACCTATAAATATTGTTCTTGTTATCGGAATCAAGTGAAGTAAAAGCAAATGTTTTGGTTTATTTGTGTCGCCTATTTGAACGTAGTTTTTTAAATTTTTTAATGTAAGCAATAATATAGGAAACTAATTCATATTTTAGCATTCAAATAATCGGTTTTAGGAAAAAACTAAAATTGTGCACAAAATGGTATGCTTCATTTCCCGGGTACGGTTCGCTTATTTGTGAAATGATGAAATGTGAAAAAAATTAACGCACAAAGGATTTAACTTTAATTCAAAACAAATAT